TAGGGTGTGTGTGTGTGTGTGTTGGGGAGGTGTAGGGAGTGTGTGTGTGTGTGTGTCAGAGGTGTAGGGGAGTGTGTGTGTGTGTGTGTGTTGGGGAGGTGTAGGAGTGTGTGTGTGTGTGTGTTAGGGAGGGAGAAGGAGTGTTAGTGTGTTGGGGAGGGTGAGAGTTTGTGGTGGGGTAGTGGAAGGTTTTGTGTGTGTGTTTATGATACACACACACACACACACACACACACACACACACACACATATCTCTGACCATCACCCGCACATACAAATTACATCATTCAGAGAAAAATATTCCCCTAATGAAGCTATAATTAGTTACCTGTCACTCATTGAGTGAGATCATTAGTTAATTAAATACAGGTACTTATCACACAGGTAAACAGATGTCCGGGTGATGGTCGTAAGATTTAATTAAAGATGAACAGCGAATTAAGATGTTTATATTAAAACTCATCCTTTATTTACTCTCTATCTTGTTCCTAAAATCATTAAAAAAAGCATAAAAATAAAATCCCTTCATCTTCTTTCCTCTCCCCACAATTATAAATAAAATACAGAAAGAAAACTCCTCCCTCTCTGTTTTCCCTTTCCTCCAAAAAAATAAAATCGCCATCTCCCCTTCATACCCTGAGGTCCAAAAATAACACTCACAAATTAAACGCCAAAAAGAACTCACATCCGAACCTTCCCATGCCATCCAATATTAATAAAACTAAAAATAAAATAAAGAAAACTCTCCTTTTACCCCTCCTCCCCCTCAAGCACCTTCGTCCCGAGCTAAAAAAAAACACAAAAAAACGCGAAAAATAAACTCGAAAAAGAACTCCCGGCCTGACCCCCTAAAACTGAAAACAAACACCAAATAAACACAGTATAAACTCCCACCCACCCCCCAACCGAGCTAAAAAAATAAAAAATAAACGCAAAAAATAAAAGAACTCTCACCCTCAGCCCTTCAAAAAAAAAATGGCGTTCGAGCATTGTTTTGTGTGTTCAGGAAGTTAGTTGTGTGGGGAGTACCCAGGAAGTCGATAGGCAGACGCAGAGAGAGCGAGAGAGAGAGAGAGAGAATGGTGAACAGACATACAGACAGAATGGTGAACAGAGACAGACAGACAGACAGAATGGCATGAGAGACAGAGCAGGAAGGTGCAGCTCAGAGAGAGAATGGTGAACAGACATACAGACAGAATGGTGAACAGAGACAGACAGACAGACAGAATGGTGAACAGACATATAGACAGAATGGTGAACAGAGAGACAGACAGACAGACAGAATGGTGAACAGAGAGACAGACAGAATGGTGAACAGAGAGACAGACAGACAGACAGAATGATGAACAGACAGACAGACAGAATGGTGAACAGAGAGACAGACAGAATGATGAACAGAGAGACAGACAGACAGACAGAATGGTGAACAGAGAGACAGACAGACAGACAGAATGGTGAACAGAGAGACAGACAGACAGACAGAATGGTGAACAGAGAGACAGACAGAATGATGAACAGAGAGACAGACAGAATGATGAACAGAGAGACAGACAGAATGATGAACAGAGAGACAGACAGAATGATGAACAGAGAGACAGACAGATGGTGAACAGAGACAGACAGACAGACAGAATGGTGAACAGACATACAGACAGAATGGTGAACAGACAGACAGACAGACAGACAGAATGGTGAACAGAGAGACAGACAGAATGATGAACAGAGAGACAGACAGACAGACAGAATGATGAACAGAGAGACAGACAGAATGATGAACAGAGAGACAGACAGACAGACAGACAGATCCCAGCTGATGTGTTGTAAAGAGTCTCAGTCTTGTTTGGGGGTGATTTTGAAGGCCGTGTTGTTGTTATGGAAGAGACACCCTAAGTTACACGTCTTCACATCAGCAAAATTGAGGACAATATATTCGATGGAGGAACTTTTAGGAAACTTTATATTGAACTTTTATTTTAGGTTTGGTTAGTTAGGTTAGGTTAAGTTACCCAGCTATGAATCGACGCACATTTTAGTATATATAACACTAATGATATAAGCAGTGTTGTGTTCAGGGGGTTCAAGAACACATGTGTGTAATAATTATGATAATAATAATAATTAATTGTTTATTGAAAAAGTTCTGCAGCCCGAAGGCTGAAAATATACATTGGACATAAATGACATATTTCATGCATTGACATTGGTGGTTTGAGAAAACCTTCATTAGAGAAAAGGAACATACAGTGAACATACAGACTAATGTTTACAGTAGTCACGTACATCCATCTTGTGCGCTGAAGTGTTGAACAACAGACACGTAGTGTAGTAACTCCCTCAAAGATAGTGTTATGAGGGGCCTCACTTGGTGTAGTAGTTCCCTCACAGATGGTGTGTGTGTGTATTTCCCTGGGCCTAAAATAATTAAGTCCTTTTCCAAAATTCCAAGTCCTTCCCCTCAGGGTCCAGGTGGAGTCAAGTGGCCTGAGAGTCTTGGCCAACCCTCCCTCCCTCCCTCCCTGCTCCTCAACACGCATTATCTTCTTTCCAGTTCTCACCACACCCTGCAGTCCTCCCATCCTCTCTCCCTACCTTACCCTCCCTCCCTTTCTCTCTCTCTCGCTCCATCCCTCTCCTCCTCATCTAACTCTCCTTCTGATCCTCCCTCCATCCCTCTCTGTCCCTTCCATCACTCCCTACCTCCTACCCATCACACCCTTCCCCATCTCTCCTTCTCTTCATTTGTTACACCCACTCTCACCTAACCCCTCTCTCTCTCTCTCTCACACAACACACACACACCCCCAACTCTCTTTACCTCCCACCACACACCTCACACTACTCCTCCGGCCCCTAACCCTCCAGTGTCCGGGTGGGTGTGGTACAGGAGGCGTGGCGGCGGTGTTGACATCAGGAGAGAGACCTGAAGCTGAGGTTTTAGAAAATGGAGGCTAACAGGAATCACGGCGGCTGGGAATGCCTAGGTGCTGGGGTGGCAGGGGTGTGAGAGTGGCAGGGATGTGTAGGGGGTATGTAGAGGTGGGAGGTATAGAAGATGTGGAGGGTTGAAGGTTGTAGGGGTGTGGGTAGGGATGTGGGAGGAGCGGAGGAGGGTGTGTAAGCTTTGACGGGGTGAGGAACGTTTAGAGAGGTGGAGTCTCTGACAGAGGGTGTAGTTGGTGTAGAGAGGTTGAAACAAGGGTGTGGAGGCCGTGATAGGCATGGAGGCCAGGCGGGGTGTGGAGGCTGTGGCGGGGTGTGGAGGGGCAAGTAAGTCCGGTACACTCTGAGAAAGTAGGCGAGGCCGAAAGTACACCTCGAGACTAAACAGTAAGTTGACATCTGAGGCCGAAGTCTTGTTTACTTGTTCCAGCGAAGAGGAGAAACCTTGCCTGGAGACCTTTGGAAGCCTTGAAGAGTGTTAGACTGACCCCTTCCCTAAAAAGGTTCCTGATCATCTAGACTGTTGTGGTTAGTTTGCAGGCGGTGTGTGTGTGTGTGTGTGTCTGTCTGTGTGTGTGTGTGTGTGTGTGTGTGTGTGTGTGTCTGTCTGTGTGTGTGTGTGTGTAAGGTTTAACCAACAGACAGAAAACACAGTACAAAACCATAACACAGGTCTTTCGTTACCTCAGTACAAAAACCAATTTAACGCTTCGAAAAAGTTAAGTGAAAATGTGCGCCCAAATTTCCCGCCCAGAATCTCGGTAACGTATGAAAACTAAATCCAGTTTCCCCTGAAGTCAAATAAGATTATGCGCCAGAAGTTCTTTTAGGAGAAGGAAATTGGTGTGTGGGGGTCGTTCTTCACTGACAATTTCCCGTTTAGTATGATAATTGAGGGCAGGACTGAAGGACGCATCCCCCCCCCACCACGAGACTGTTCTTCTGGTCTCTCTTACTCCGGCGTTTTTTACGACTGACTTAAATTATGGCGCCACATTTTGTTTATTTGTGTTAACTCTCCGTTCATGGGTTTCTTTATCTTCTTTTTTTATTATATTATTATTATTATTATTATTAGTATTATTATCATCATCATCATTATATTCCCACGACACATGAACGGGATATATTTATTTTAATGAAGTAAAATTACCCAGCTTATAGCACTTGTATTTTCAGTCTTACATCTTTGGTCTACTGGAAGACATAGACGTTGAGGGAGTTTGATCATTTAAAAGTTAAAAAATCAAACTTATTAAATATTTCGTAATACAGTATATATTCCTATGACAGTTTAACTCTCTCTCTCTCTCTCTCTCTCTCTCTCTCTCTCTCTCTCTCTCTCTCTCTCTCTCTCTCTCTCTCTCCGTATATATTTTTACTATTATTTTTCATTTTTATTTATTTAGCCTAACCTAACCTAACCTAACCTAACCTAACCTAACCTAACCTAACCTAACCTAGAGAGAGGATGAAGAAATAAAGGTTGAGGAAGACAGGGGGAAGTAAGAAGTAACAAGAGAAGAAACACAAGAACAAGAAAAGAGGAAAAAGTAGAATTATGAATAACCACAGAAGTAGCATAGGACCGATAACTGTGGAAGAGAAATACTCGATTGACCAAACCTATAACAAATGGGGGAATAACAAGGTGATGAAAAAGAAGAGAAGAGAAATCTCGCTATTACAGTGGAGGGAGAGAGTGACGGAGGGACGGAGTGATGGAGGAGGTAGGGAGTGGTGGAGGGAGAAGGGAGGGAGGGAGAGTGGTGACGAAGGGAGGGAGTGGTGGTGGAGAAGGCAGGGAGGGAGAGAGTGGCAGAGAAGGGAAGGAGAGAGAAAGTGACGGAAGAGATATGGAGTGGCGGAAAGAGAGAAAGAGAGAGAGAGAAGTTGAAGGGGCAGAGAGGGCATTAGTGATGCAAGGTGCAGTAGGGAGGTGGTGGTGGTGGTGGTGTGTGTTGCAGGTTGCACGTCTTCAAGATCAATGGGAGGAAACTCTTTGTTGCCAGGTTCCTCTCCTCCTTCCAGACGTTGGTGCTGGCAAATTGTGTTACCTTAGGGTGAGGGTATGATGTGATCTTGAGTGGTGTGATCCTGGCTGTTGAGGGGGGATGATGTGATCTTGAGTGGTGTGATCCTGGCTGTTGAGGGGGATGATGTGATCTTGAGTGGTGTGATCCTGACTTGAGGGGTATGATGTGATCTTGAGTGGTGTGATCTTGGCTGTTGAGGGGGGGATGATGTGATCTTGAGTGGTGTGATCCTGACTGTGTGTGTGTGTGTGTGTGTGTGTGTGTGTGTGTGTGTGTGTGTGTGTGTGTGTGTGTGTGTGTGTGTGTGTGTGTGTGGGGAACTGGTTTGATGTGATCTTGGTGGTGTGATCTGACTGTTGGGGGGGATGATGTGATCTTAGTGGTGTGATCCTGACTGTTGGGGGGATGATGTGATCTTGAGTGGTGTAGTCCTACGGCTGTTGAGGGGGGATGATGTGATCTTGAGTGGTGTGATCCTGGTTGTTGGGGGATGATGTGATCTTGGTGGTGTGATCCTGACTGTTGAGGGGGATGATGTGATCTTGAGTGGTGTGATCTTGACTGTTGAGTGGTGTGGTCCTGACTGTTGAGTGGTGTGATCTTGACTGTTGAGTGGTGTGATCTTGACTGTTGAGTGGTGTGATCTTGACTGTTGAGTGATGGCGACCCTAACCTATCCTAATCGAGATAACCTAACCTAACCAAACCTAACCTAACCTAACCTAACCTAACCAAAATCAAACCAAACCAAACCTAACCTAACCTAACCTAACCTAACCTAACCAAACATAGTCGGCAGCAGGAAATGAGATCACACAGTCAAGAATACAAGATGACTACTGGAGCATCAGTATGTAGATCATAGCCCACAACCTCCTTCTCCCTACCTCCCTCCTTCCCTCCTTCCTTCTCTCCCTCGCCCCTTCCTTCCTTCTCTCCCTCCTCCCTTCCTTCTTTCTCTCCCTCCTTCCCCCTTCCCTTAGTATCCCTCACTCCTTCCTTCCTTCTTTCTTTCCCTCCCTTAGTATCACTCACTATCTTTCTCCCTCCCTCCCTCCTCCCTCTCCTCCCCTCCTCCCTCTTTCCCCTCTCCCTCCTCTTCCCCCTACATCCCGTATTCCTCCTCCTCCTCCCTCGTGGCTTCCCAATATTGGTAACATAAATCCTCTCCCTGAGACTGGGTGGTGGGTCATGTGTAGCTGCCGGCGTGGGCGTGTGTCCCCGCCCTTCCTAGCACGCCCACGACTGTTTTGTGTGTGTGTGTAGAGAGACAACAACACCATGGTCAGATACAATACGTGAGGTGCACACATTCGGGTATGGGCGTACACACATGTATGTAAGCGTGGGCATAAGCACCTCAGTCGTACGTGTGGGCGTGAGAGCGAGGGCGGACACACACACACACACACACACACACACACACCTTTCAATTAGCATAACCTGCTTTTACACCTCCGTCTGTGTTAAGAAACATTACTTTATTATTTTAAGTCTGACTGTCAATATATAGCCGAGTTTATCTGTCTGTCAGCTGGCCTGTCTGTAAGTGTTTGCCTGTCTGTCCGTCTGTGTGTGCTCTGTGTTCATCTCTCTCTTTCTGTCTTGTTATTATCCTGTCTATTATTCTTTCTATCTGCATCTCTTAATTTTTATGTTACCAATTTGTGAATACTTGCACTTAATATCACCACCACCACCACCACTCATCACCACCACCACTACCACCCCTACTCATCACCACCACTACCACCACCCCTACTCATCACCACTACTCATCACCACCACCATCACCACCACCACTACCACCCCTACTATCACCTCACCACCACCACCACTACCACCCCTACTATCACCTCACCACCACCACCACCACCCCTACTATCCTGCCTACACCCACCACCACTCATCACCCACCACTACTACCACCACTACTCTCATCACCACCACTCATCACCACCACCATCACCTCAACTAAACACAGTTAATCAACACGTTTGTTTTATCTTCTTTTACAGAGTAGCTGTGACGTCATCTGAAGCTGTGGACCACTTCACACACACACACACACACACACACACACACACACACACACACACAGGAGCCTGGCACCAGTGTGTGTTGACTCGGGCACAAGGAACGCTGCCTTACAAGTGGGTTTGTATAATTCATCGTGATCTGGAAGGGTGAAAAACGTGTTAGTTTATTTTTGTGTTTATGACCTGTGTTTAGTACAGTTCAGTGTGTGTGTGTGTTTACTGACCTGACTGATGGATGTTTTAGGTGTGTTTAGTACAGTTCAGTGTGTGTGTGTGTTTACTGACCTGACTGATGGATGTTTTAGGTGTGTTTAGTACAGTTCAGTGTGTGTGTGTGTGTTTACTGACCTGACTGATGGATGTTTTAGGTGTGTTTAGTACAGGTCAGTGTGTGTGTTTACTGACCTGACTGGTGGATGTTATTCACGTGTGTAGGATGTTTAATTTCTTCATGTATTTAATAAAGCAAGCAATGGCGAAGTCTCCGCCATCTTGGTTTTTAATCGCTAAAGGAAATTACGATAAAAATTTTCCCTTTTCCTCCTTTCCCTCCCTTCACCATCATCCTTCACTTCCCTCCTCTTCTTTCCCATACCATCCCTCCTCCATTTTTCTCTCTTTTTTCCTTCTCTTCCAACTTCTTCCTTTACCATCTCTCCTCCTCTCTCCTCTTCCCTCTTCCCCTCCACTCCCCTCCCCTTCTTCCCATTCCTCACCACCCCTCTCCCCCTTTTTCCCCTCTCCTCTTCCCTCTCTTCCAATTTCTTCTTCCCTTACCATCGCCCCTCCCCGCCTCTCCCCCCTCCCCTCTTTGTTTTCCTTAATAATATCTCTGAGTTTCCTTTATAAACTTGTACATTTTTTTCTCATATAAATTGTGTCGCCTTTTGGACTAATAATTCCTTTTAATTTAAATCTAAATTTGTTATTTTTGTTTTTATTTTCTTTATTAGTCTTGTTTTTACTTTATTATTGGTATTAGATTATATATTTATCCCATTTATTTTGTTGTTTTGATTTTATATTATTATTTATTTTATTTTATTACTTTAATTTATTATTATTATTATTATTATTATTATTATTATTATTATTATTATTATTATTATTATTACTTAACAATTTTATATTTCATACTTATATTTTTAATTATTTCCTCTATATATTTACTCTATGGTGACCTTCAGTATGTGGGAGCAGCAACATGGGGGTGGGAGCTGCAACATAGGGGTGGGAGCATCAACATGGGGGTGGGAGCAGCAACATGGGGGTGGGAGCAATGTATGGGGTGGGAGCAACAACATATGGGGGTGTGAGGAGCAACAACATGGGGGGTGGGAGCAGTAACATGGAGTGGGAGCAACAACATGGGGGTGGGAGCAACAACATGGGGGTGGGAGCAGTAACATGGAGGTGGGGCAGCAACATGGGGTGGGAGCAGCAACATGGGGGTGGGAGCAGCAGCATGGAGATGGGGAGCATTAACATGGGGGGTGGGAGGCAGCAACATGGGCGTGGGAGCAGCAACATGGGGTGGGAGCAGCAACATGGGCGTGGGAGCAGCAACATGGGGGTGGGGAGCTCAGCAACATGGGAGATGGGGCAGTAACATGGGGGTGGGAGCTTGTGGCAGCAGGGGGTGGGAGCAACAACATGGGGGTGGGGAGCAGCAGCATGGGGGGTGGGGCAGCTAACATGGGCGTGGGAGCAGCAACATGGGGGTGGGGCAGCAACATATGGGCGTGGGAAACAGCAACATGGGAGTAGAAGAATCATGTTTGTGTTAGATAAATAGGCGCCGCCAGTCTGGTGTTGGTAGGTAAAAATACCGCCGAGCGATACTCCAGTTTTTTGCCAGCAAAATATGTTAGAGAAGCGGTGGAGGCTGGCACATTGGAGGCTGTAGCAGTGGCGGCTGGCGGTGGAGGCTGTGGAGGCTGGTGGAGGCTGTAGCGGTGGAGGCTGTAGCAGTGGAGGCTGTGGTGAGGTGGAGGCTGTAGCGGTGAGGCTATAGTGGAGAGCTACTAGTGGTGGAGGCTGTAGCAGTGGCGGCTGTGGCGGTGGCAGCTGCTTGTGGCAGTGGAGGCTGTGATGAGGTGGAGGCTGTAGCAGTGGAGGCTGTAGCAGTGGCGGCTGTGGTGGTGGAGGCTGTGGCGGGCTGTGGTGGAGACTGTGAGTGGTGGCGGCTGTGGCAGTGGCGGCTGTAGCAGTGGAGGCTGTAGTGGTGGAGGCTGTAGCGGTGGCGGCTGTAGCGGTGGCGGCTGTAGTGGTGGCGGTGAAAATCAACCCCACCAAATTTTACATACGATGGTGAAGTGGTTATTGCATTCGACTGGTAGTCAAGTGATCCCGGGTTCGACTTCGACTCTCCATCCTGAAGAGGCTGTGTCTGAATTGGCCTCTGGTGGTAGCTGTATGTGATGTATTGCTACTCGTGCCCTCCAGCTAGTCGGCACAACACAAGAGCTTTATAAATATCACCACTAAGAAACAGGAGATTACCCCATTCTCTCTCACTAGGAGGAGATGCAACCATTGTCTCTCACAAGGAGATACATCTATTCTCTCTCAGTAGAAGGAGAAACACCCATTCTCTCTTACTAGGAGGAGATGCAACCATTGTCTCTCACTAGAAGGAGACACACTCATTCTCTCCCATTAGAAAGTGGAGATATACCTATTCTATCTCAACCTATCTACCGTAGTGGCTCCAGACCCTCTTAGCTGAGGCTGTAGACTAAGTCATAAATACTTCGTCAATAGGTAATAACCAACAGCATGAAGGTAGGTCAAGGCGTCACTCTTACACAGGTAATAAGTCCCATCTCAAGTCTTCATAAAACCACAAAATTGACCTATTGGCTGAATTCGTCTCCCTTAAACTTTTTTTTAATTTCTAGAAGTTTGATTGGTTGATGGTGGCTATGTAAACAACCAGTAGTCAATCAGCTTGTGTGTGATTGGTTGATGGTGGCTATGTAA